CTCTTCCCTCAGCCTCCTCTTCTCCAGACTAAACACCCCCAGCTCCCTCAGCTGCTCCCTATCAGACTTGTGCGCCAGACCCTTCATCAGCTTTGCTGCCCTTCTTCGGACGTGCTCCAGCACCTCAAAGTCTTTCTTGTAGTAAGGGGCCCAAAACTGATCATGGTATTCGAGGTGCAGCCTCATCAGGGCTGAGTACAGGGAGGTGTGTGATGTGCTGGATTTCCATACCAGGACAAACCTCTTTAATATCTAGACCAATAAATCCTCTTCCACAACAGCAAGTAGTATTAAAATGTCAGCCCTAAATCAGACCCCAGCAATACCACACATCAGCATAAAACTCCTTACACAATGTCAGCTCCTGTCTTGTCCTAGCAAGGATCACAATTTTTTGGGATATGATAAAAAGCATTACTGTAGATGCGGTGAATATACACATTCAAATGTCTTTCTTCTTAGCAGTCTAAGTCTTTGTGTCAGTAGCATCCAGAGACATCAAAGTCCATAAATTAACCACCTGCTGCACAGGGAACACACATACCGTCTTTGTATGTCAGGCTGCTGGCAAACTTTTTGCCATGGCTGCGTGCGTAGTCCTGGAGGTTGGGGGCACTGGAGGAGCCTCCCAGCACAGTGGTGCTAAACAGGCCGGTGCATTGAGACCCTGGAAAGGCATGGAAGGTATTAGTATTACATCTCCACTGCATGCAACTACAGAAAAGCAGGGTTAGTCAAAGAATGAGGAATGAACTGGCCACTTTGCAGGAAGTCTCAGGAAAAAAAAAAAAATTATTCTGGGGAGCATAGGGAGGCAGTATTCTCCATTCTAAATTCAGTAGTGCCAAATGCACAACAGGTAGCCTAAAACTCAGCACCAGGCCAAGTTCCTAACTTTGCCCAGGGGTTTATTTCCATTTGGCTTTCTTGCCCTGACCTAGGAGAAACACCTTGACACCCTCCAGTCAGCAAATCTACATACTCATGTCAGAAAAGCCAGGATGCCAAATCACTGACATTGATGTCATAGGGCTTCATTTCTCTGCTCTTCTGCCCTTTCTCTTTGGAAAGCTCCTTTTTCTGTAGGATACCAAGAAGAAGAAAGGACTGACTAATCTGTTGATCAGCAAATGTGAATTAATCACTCTGTCAAGCGGTAAAGCAAGCAATGTGACCAGAGAGCTTTCTTTAACAAGCTGCTGCCCAGACGGTATTTCACATCCACATGGTCATGTCTTGCTGCTCCAGAGTAGATCCAGTTGTTCCACGAACTACCCTTGCAAAGCACCAGATGTGCACACAGCATGGAACTTTGCTTACCCTGTGGTGACGAATATGGCATGCAAGACAGTCTCATGCATAGGAGGACAAGCAAATACCGATGGGTTTGACAACTGCTGGTGTTTGCTTCTCCAAGACACAGTGTTCTGTGGAGTGACTTGACTTTATGTGATATTTAGGGAATATCAGGCATTAGAAACAGGATTCTTTCGACTGAAGAATGCAATTGTGAGCAAGACAAAACCTTATTATCGGCCAGACAAAGCCACTGATTGGCTATAAATTCTTTGCTAAACCATCTTGGTACTGCATTCTGTACTGAGAATACCAACTGCTAAAAGCTACATTACTCCCACATACAAAAAGCTACCAGAAACAAGCAGGTTGATCTTGTTTCACCTTGTCTGCCAAGGCAAAAAACGTGACATACTGCCTATTAGTATTTAACTGGAACAGTACAACTGTTGAAAAGATCCTGCCTATATTGCAAGCAGCTCTTGATTCTAAAATACAACATCATAGCATGGTTTAGGTTGGAAGGAACCTCTAGAGGCTTCTTTCCCAATGCCCCAGCAGGGCCAGCTTGAATCAGCTTGCTAGGGTTTGTCCAGTCAAGTACTGAATACCTCCAAGAAAGAAGACTTTACAGCCTCTCTGGGACTCTGTTCCAATATCTGGCACATTCATGGTGAAAAATTTGTTCCCCCTAGCTAATTAGAAATTTCCCATGCAGCAACTTGTGTCTGTTGATTCTCGTCCTATCACCACGTGACTTGGAGGACGGTCTGTCCAGCTTCTCTTCCCATTTAGGTGGCTGAACAGCATTAAGGTCTCCACTCCCCACAGCTTCTGACCTGAATGAGCCCCGTCCTCTCGGCTTCTCCTCCTTCTCCAAGGTCCATAGTGTGCTCCATCACCCATCCACCTCCACTGCCCCTTAATGGGCTTACACCCACTACCTCCACACCCTTCTTGCATTAGGGAGCCCAGGACAGGACAGGAGTACTTCAGACGCAGTCTCACAAGAGGTGAATAGAGGGGAAGAACCAAGTCCCTCAGCCTGATGGCTGTACTCCTGTTAATCCAGCAAAGCATCCTGTTGGCCTTCTTTGGTACAAGGACACACTGCTGCCTCATGCCCACTCATTGCTCTTCAGGACCCCAGATCTTTCTCTGCAAAGTTCCTTCCAGAGCTTCTTTGGAGAAAACACATAGAACCTGAGTTTTGAGCTATTCACATGTAAACTCAATCTAATCTGATGACATCTGCTCCTGGGAACAGTGGGGGATGACCGAAAGGGTCCTCATATGCACTGAACTTAAGCTATTCCACCACTGTGACACTGCTGGTAGCTTTCCACAGGACAGACTAGCACATATGTGTCCTTGCACAAACAGGCAAAGAACTCTTGCCTGCAGGGTGACTGATACACAAGTCTTAGAAAATTTCCTCCTAATGCCTTAAATTGAAGCTCAGCGCTGGCTCAGCATGAACTGCAATCCGTCAGAATGCAAACAAAATTTTGTCAAGTAGCAGCCAGAATGATGCTCCTAATTGTCCTTCCATGGCTTAAAAAACAAACAAACCAACCAAAAAAAAAATCCCAGCAGACTCATTTACTGGCAGATAAAAATGGAACAGAAGATTTTTTACTTAAGACTTTCTATCTTGAGCAGTCTCATGCCACTAATCAATAAGCTAATGATACCCCAGTGTTTCTGCTATCCTACAGTAAACGGAGACATTTTGTTAGCACCTTTAAGCCAGAAAAGAATTTACAAAGATGACTCTATGGACGACAGCAATTGTCTACAGTAAACTCTAGGAGACCACTGTAGCCAAAGTAAACACACACACACACTCACATACTCTAGAGAACATAATGGTATACTAGCCTTTGGATTTCAGATGTAGCTACATTTGCTAGAAATTACTGTATGTGCTGGATCTTTTTTGTGTATTTAATTTTCAGATGTACATTCAATGTTTCAGATGTTTAAGAAACAGACATCTCTTATTTCCCTATGGGAGTCTCAGCACAAAGCTTCATGCCCACCGGCAATACACCACCTCTATTGCTCGAACAGCAAGGAGTAATTTTACCCCATTTTGCATTGTTCTTGCAAGCAAAGAAAGGCACTGAAACTCCCCAAGGCTTCTCAGGCTAGAAGCATATGCACTGTTGCAGACAATCTACAGTAATGCACTTGCTCCTGCCCAGAAAAACGTGGCATACTCCAAAGCATCACTTTGCATAGACAAAGCAAGCTGCAGCCCACCCCTTTTCCAAACAGACATTTCAAGACATTTTAAAGTAAAGACACAGGTATGGCAGCAGGGTTATTACAGGAGCTCTGTATTGCTCCCCGTTCCTGTATGCCTAAACATATGAGGTTATACCTGAACCAACATTCTCCCAGAGAATCCATTGTCCCAGAGATAACAATAGCCAGCCACTGACAAGGTCAGGCAGCAGGAGATAGGCTCAACTTCAGAAAAGATCAGAGACAGCTGGTAGTACCTGAATGAACCCCCTCATAGCACAGCTGCTGAGACAAGTATTAAAGCCAAAGTTCAAGCTCCCGTGAGTTCTATATTATTTTTTGCAGAGGGAGTACATTTCAGATCCTAAAGGGGGAAGAAATTAGATTTCTACAAAGCAAGCAGGAAAGGAATCAGGAAGATTCCTTGAAAAGCTTCACTTTTACAGGTAAAGAGGCATCATTCTTCACAACAGTTCTCAGATTAAGAGAAATTCACAGAAACACAGATATCCTAATAACCAGGGATTGCACAAGCTGATGTTGCACCACACGTCTCTCCAGCTCAACCCTTCTGTGCCTGCAGCTACAAGACTCTATAGAGAAGAATGATGGCTGGACTGAGTATCCAGCTAGAGGTCTACTGTAACAGATCAGGTCTACCGATTCCTACTCAAAGCTTTGTCTCTGCAGAGCTTCACAGCTGGGAGAGTGACCAGCGCAGGCTTCTCAGCAAGGCAAGTCAGGCAAGAACCTGAAATTAAACCTGCTGCGATCACACTTCAAATTTTATTGTCAAGGAAAAGTAGTACTGTACGAGGGTCCAGTAGAGTAGTAGTCTTCTCTAATGCCAAAACAGACATTCCTCAGAAACCTGGAAAAGGCTGTAGTAAATAGGCTGTAATATCTGCTTTCTGGAGCACATGCCTTCTGGTACTCAGACATCGAAACAGTAAAGATAGTTTGCATGTAGCATTTGATGTACTCAGTAATTCTCCAAGCAGATGCACTTCTTCGACTGTGTGCCATCTCAAAAGTTCTCATATTGATACACATGGATTCAGAGAATGACCACCGGTTTCTTCAAGCCTAAGCAAGGCAGTCTATTACAGCTCACTTAATCCTGCAGGTGGTCTGTGAAAGGCAGAAGTCAGTAGATGCACCACATGAAATAGCACATTCAAAAACCACTATGGCCACGGCTATTGTGCCCTTATGAAAATAATATGCATCAGCCATTCCTTCTTAGATTTTTCCAGCTGGCTGGGAGCATAGCTGGCAGACTCCAGGGATACTTCCTAACCACTCTGAAGAAAATTCCCTTTACTTGGTAAGAATTAGCTTCCAAAGAAGCAGCTCACTCAAAAGTGACAAAGAAGTGATCAGGCCTTTCAGGAACCTCTTGGCTGCAGGTTGTCCACAGAACAGAGTAAAGAACTGATGAGTCAGAACTGCTGCAAGTCTACGGCCACACCATAATGCAAAAATGGTTTTAAAGGAAAAGAAAGTGGACATAACTTGGGCACTTCCACCTCCTGGTGCTTATTAGTCACCTGCAAGATCTAGGTTTCACAGCTATCTTTGAACTTCATGACACCAAAGACCGCCTTTCAGTCTCCAAATAGATCTTGCTTTAGCAAAAATATTTTAGGAAGAATTTCAACTATAAAGACATGGTTTAGGTCAGGACAACAGGAAATGGTATTCTCAAGGACAGGCAGAAAACACCAAGTGCCCCAAAATATTCTCTTCTGCTGGCTACCATGCAAAGAATGGCTAATTCTTTGGCATTATGGTCAATCTAATGGCAGGGATTCCAGCTCAATTAGAGAGCTGTCAAACACTGTTGCAGATTACAGTTCTGTTCCATACAAGAGATCTTTGCGAAGCAAAGGTAGAAATACAACAGTCTTACATAAAGAGCAGCTTTGCGTGTAAATTACTGTTTCGCAGAACAGAAAGCATGCTAGTTCTCACATAAAATCATCTCTTCCTACTAAGTTCAGAAATGGTAGAACAAATGATAGCAACATGGAACCAGAAGGCCGGCCTGCAAGTACGCAACTTGCTTTGTTGCTCTCATACTATAAAGGGTGAAAAGTGCATCTTCTGTTGCTAGAAGCTGAAGGAGAAGATCATACACAAAAGGAAATACGTAAGATAGTCTCTACAGTGGTCTAAGCAGTAACACTAAAAGACGACATAATACACACAGAGAGATATACAAGGAACTTAAGCCAGATGTACATGTGGAGAGACAGGCATATGCCCACAGAAATACAGAGGTACAGGCGAGCAGGCTGGTCACAGGTCAAGTACAGTACCTAAGCCACTTTGCTTCATCTCAGAAGACTGCCTGGAATAAGTGCTGAAGAGGCGATAACCTCCTGATTTGGAAGAAGATTCAGATAGCACCTGCAAAGACAGACAGTATAATCAGTGTTGTGCTCTAAGTTACCCACTGGTCTCAAAAACCTTTATATGTCAATTGAAGGTAAAGAAAAGTACGTCTCTTCCTTAAAGTCACAATTTTCGAGAAACATAAAAGTACTCATATGCTAAGATTGTGACAGTGCACGCTCAATTTTAATTTCAAGTTTGTGTTGGGTTGTGAAACAGTGTAGATTTCAAAAGTGTGAAGGGATTCATGTACTGAGCTCCTTGTCTCCCAAGACTCTTACTGGGATCACTGGGACATAGTCTTCCTTCTTTAGCAGCAGGAAAGTATATCCCCTTCAACTTAGTATGCGCCTCTTACAAAGAGACCCCGAGTGCTGCATGCAAGGATTACATCAGGAGAGACACAGATGGAAGTCAGCTAACAAATACTTCAAGCCCTAACTCTCTGCTTTCACTGGTTCAGAAAACAGATAGCAGAAATGCCTGTGAAATCCCTCCAAAGGAGGGGTAATTCTAGAGCACTTTGAAGGTGCCAGCTACCTGCTGACTGTGAAGTTAGCCTTACGACATGTAATGGCCCTGAAGGAGAGAAGTAAGAACAGTAAAATTGATCTTTGTTACTTTAGCAGATCAGTGAATGGGACAATTCTAAACCCTGAGAGTTTAAATACTCCGTAATAAACCCACGGGTTAGCACGGTGCTCCAGTTTGCATGAGATCTTAGATGGGAGGCAGGAACAAGAAGTGTGGAGCTGAACTGTGAGAGGAAAAGGCTGGAGTCTAAGGGAAGGCAAAGATGTCACTGTGGCTAGGTGAAGAGGTTGCATGCAGTCTCATAGCTGGTTATGCTGACACCTCAACAGAGCATATAACCCAAGTAATTCTTCACTTTCTCAAGCATTTCCTTACTTGCCCTTCCTCATCAGTTCCTCTGACCTGTGTTCCCCCTGTCCTTCCTCAATGAGGAGAAGTTTGGGAGATCTGCCTTCCAAAAAATCCCTCTTTCACTTCTGCAGATCCTTTTCCAGAATCAACTCAAACTCTGGCATGCTAAAAGGAATGCCAGGAAACCAAAACCAAGCAAAACACCTTCATTAGAACAACCAAGGGCACCCATCACATTGTTACCTCCATGGACCCTGTCTTCCGGTTCCTGATCAGCGGTGATCTTCGCTGAATGCTGACCGGCTCGGAAGGCTGCGGAGACCTTTGCTGTGCGCGGTCTGGCTCATCGATGATCTTCTCTTTGGAGAGGTCCTCCAGGCTGCCTTGGTCTGCTTTCTTGTCCTCATTCTGCAGCAAGGAAACATTGACACCTACAGGCGCATGGCCTTCGCAAGCACTGCCTGGCACTGCCTCCAGCCTTGGATCTCCCAGCTCTGCTGAGCTCAGGAGGATACCAGCGTTCTCAAAGACTGCCCTCACAAACCCTCGAAGTTAGGCAGGGAACATAACCTGCTAACAGCCTGCGGGCACACGAGAAAGGTCAGAGGAAATTTTGCTGCTGGAGACTGGACGGCAGCAGAGCCCGGCAGAGCAGCAACGTGCCCAACGGGCTGGCGCTCACCATATCCCCCCTGGGCAGGGCAGCCTATGTCCAGGCAGCATGCTCACCTCTGCGGAGGCAGGCCGAAAGCCAAACCCCATGGGCACGTTTCTGTCTTCCTCACAGCCTTTCACGCCAGGGCTGAAATGCAGCTCCACATGGAAACGCTCTTCTGAAGATGGGTCCTGTGAACACGAGGCACAGGGAATAACTAAATAAGTAAAAATCAGTCCCACTGTCAGCACAGGCCACCGTCTGGACCTGGGCCATCCTGCCATGCCAGTGCAGCACGCATCCCAAGCGCATCCTTTTGGAAGGGAAGCAGAAGCAACAAGAAACCACGAACATAATGGCTCTAGGTTTGTCTCATCCAAAAGGACAGCCCTTATTAGCACAAAGCTGAGGCATTCAAATTGTTGTTATTTTGTGACAACAGCCACCAGAGGACCAAAACAGAATCAGGCTATATGTGTACATATATACAAGCCTAAAACATAGCCCCTTCTGATCCACCCCTGTTGCAAAACCAGCACACACTTGGGCAGGGAGAGACTGGTTCCCTCCTGGAACTTTAGTCAGGTTGTTCCAAGATTTAAGTAACAGTCTCTAATATTAATTTTTTATATTTTTTTAAAGGAAGCCAGAGCTTTTACTGTATCTGGCACTAATGATGTAAACCCAAAAGTTTCACCTGCTCTACTTACTAACAGATTTATACCACTCCTAAGAGCTCTATTCAGACATCTGTTTCTTTTTGGACAAACAGCACTAGGAAATATTTCACTTCTACCATTAGAACCCCACATCAGCTCTGTGAATACAAGATTCTAACTTTATAGCTACAGAGGAAAGAGACTGCTCCCCTGACCCAGTACAGGACCTGAGTTACGGGACCTGGGATTCAGAACATGCAATTCAGTGCCAAATCTACTTATGGTCACCACCATCAGCTTCCACATTCCAGCTGTTTTTTAAATTATTCTCTTTACCTCCTGAAGATATCAGTAGATACTACCCTAACTATACCAGTATATTTTTTAAATAAAAAAAGTTTACGAATGTGGAATTTCTGGTTATTTTCTAGAAATACTTGGAAAAAACTGCCAAATAAAATTTTTTTTCCTGCTGTTCATTTGTAATTAATATTAAGAAAATGAAAACTATTTTGTGTTAGGAAATGCTTTAAAATAGATAGTATTGATTACTTAAGTTTGGTACTACTGCTCAGGGTGACATTCCACTTACACGTAACAAGCATTAACTAGGTCACTGTCTCCCACCTAAAAATAAGAACTAGCAGTTGTGTTAATGATCTGTCCATCTTTATTCACAAGCGGAGAGAGCTTAGGTTACAGGCTTCCCAGCTGAACTCATCTCTTGGGGACTGTGCCTTGCATCATCGCAGGAAGGATTTTATCCTACAACTATATCCCTCACCTTGTTGTTGTCCTCGTAGAGCATGATAACAATCTGGGTCATGTAGTTCAGCTCTGAGATAGCACTCAAATAGTCCATGGCTCTCTTCCACTGCTGGTCTTTGTTTTCCTGATATATACACATAAACAGTCGCATAGAATAAGCAACAGCAGACACCTTGCAGCATTCAGTGAAATGGGTCTGAGAGAGTTTGTCTCTCCACAAGATAACAACATTATCAGGACAAAACCCACCTTGCTTAACTTGCATGAAGAGAGATGACCTTGCAATGAGGGCGGGGTGCTTACAGTAAGGAGCAACTGCATAGAGGGACACTACAGCTACCCACACAATCCGCGTGCAGACCTGAGCACATCCAGCTGCAAGCTCCCTATGCCATGCTGACTGGACAAAAGCATAACCCACAGCAGGTTCCCACAGTCATTCTCAAATAGTGACCTACAGAATGGAGTATTTTACAGAAACCTCAAAAAAAGCACAAGGGATGAACTTGTACTAAATAAGGGACCAAGTGAAGCTGCTTTTACATGACGCTGAATGAAAAGTCTACAGAGCCACACTGGACCCTTGGGCTCCACAAGGCAGGGCAGCCCACCCCTCTTTGTTTCCCAACACTGCTAGGGAATGGCCATACCTGAAGCGCCACTCATGCTGCTGTGGAGCATCTCACCACCTTGATGGACGTGAAATGAACCCCATCGGTACAAACCAACCCAGATGCAGCTTAATATCTCTGTGCTGGTAACACAGCATCCTCTGACCCTCCAGTCAGGGAATAAAGTAGCATCTTATTCAGTGAGCAGTTCAGAGGTACTTGCATGATCACTGCCTATAGATACACTGAGCCTCCACAGACATCAGAAATCACACCTGCTAAGCAAGCCCAAACTCTCAAGGCATTTCAGAACACCATGCTTAAAAATGGGAAGATAAATCAGAGAGCCTCTCGAGGAGTCTAAAGCAGAGCTCTTCTCAGGGTCTGCATGCCAGTTCCTTCAGGAAGCAGGTTATGAGAGCAAGTGAAGGTTGGACTGGGTGAATTAGTCCCCTAAAAATGTGTCATCTGTCCCCCTGGTAGAGAGCATCCCCTATGCATTTGCAACCTCAAGCCACTTCCTCTGTAACCAAACAGATTTCCTTGACTTAGAATTGACAGAAAGTCACTAAATAACAGGGCCAAGCTCTTGAAATAAAGGGTTGAAGGAAGCAAGCAGAGAAATTCCCTCATTCCCATTGCCTCATACTGCTGCTCTCCTACACAGATAAGTGGTCTCCTCATCTGAAACCAGCAGCACAGCTCTTGAGAAAACATGCCTCTCTACAAGCAAGGCGAGCAGTGTCAGGACTGAGGAAGAACAATCCTCCTACATGCCAGAGAGGCAGGAAGCTGCAGCATGCAAACACAGCAGAGATGGAGTTGGCCAGAGGCCACTGATGCACATCATTACTGTGGGAGCTGCCTAGAGGGGCTACCTACAAACATACACTGTCCACCTTGGAAAGGGCCACTGAAGAAAAGCAGGGAGGCTTACTCTGTGAGCATTGCTGGGACACTTACATCCAGAAGCCCCCCATAGCGGAAGATACTGAGCAGAGAGTGCACATGGCTCTCACTGGTGAAGTAGAGCCGTGTCCGAACGTGACGACCTGGTGACAGAACTCCTCTTGAGTACCTAAACCAAAACCAGCCCAGTGTTATTCATAGCCTGCCAAGGAATTGCCATCTATCATACAGTAACATCTATCATATGCTTAACGGAATAAGATAACCCCACACTGGGAACTGTCAAAGAGCAGCAGGAACAGAACAAACAGTGTGAGGACTGGGCACAGAAGTAGCAAGTTTTATGGTATCCTAATGGAGACACATGGCGGGGCAGAGGCGGCCTCATCATACTAGCACTTGCCCCTTGCAGAGACAAGGATGAAGGCACCACCATCCAGCTACAATGGGTTTAAGCTTCTGTGGCACCGTGCTCCTGCTCAGTAGTCTCAATGTGCCTTTCTATTTCCCTTCTAGCTCTAGGAGCACCAAGATGCCTCCCTCTTGGTGTGTCCTTCAGCGTATGCTCAGTGCTTCCTTCCACACCAGTACTCTCCTCTGCTGTGATTCCAACACGCTGCTCCAAAGCTGACCCCCCCAGCCCCAGCAGCAGTAGCATGCAGCACAATCCTTACAGGGGATGTAGTTTGTTGACAGACTCATCTTCATGGGTTCTCTGTAGGTCCAACTGGATCTTTTTAATGAGAGGAAGACAAAAGCCAATAGCAATCTCCAGTTTCTCCTCCTTATTAATGCCATATTCCTGGAGGAACAAAACAATAGATACCCTTGAGGCCTCGTTCTTTGCTACACCCTCACACGGAGAGAGGCTGGATTTCAACAGTCATGTCTGCAAGCACCACTACAGTTAAGCAAGGACAGAAAAGGAAATGTCACTCAGCAACTTTCTCTTCCCCCCCCCACCCATATTGCAGAGGGTAACAGAGGACAGTGACTCCTCCAAGAATCCCAATCTGTCTAGACATGACTGTCAGTATTCTTCCAACAGCTGAGAGGCACAAGTACTACAAGGGAACCTCCTCTCATGACACACAAACTTATACCCTGGCATGAGCATTAATGCAACGACTGCTATTTGCAAACATAAAACTTGAAGTGCTATGCTGGAAATAGCCAAACTGCATCTCATCAGGAACACTGAAAAAGTTCAGAAGACCACTTCTGCTCTACATAGGCACAAGTGCAATTGGACCTTGGTAGAAGGCAGAAACTCCTCCCATATAAACGAAGCATTTCGGCCAGAAGTGGGACAAAACAATGGTGAATACAGAGATCCGCTGCATGTGGCCCTCCTTTGTCCTCCCATGTTTATGGGCATAAACTTTGAGAGGAGTAAGCCAACTCTGCGAACTGAACAAGTTCTAGTCAGACATGAATAACAAACTTGCCAGAACAAGCCTTCACTTTAACACAGAAATCCCTCTTCTCCTGTACAATCTTGTATGTGGAGAACAGGATACTGCTATACCACACACACTCAGCTCAAAGTTGTGCTATAATGCACTGTGATGAACGTGGAAAAGCTGCTGCATCAGCTGTTTGTTTCTTCTGACACTGTCAGAATCCTCATCCAAGAAGCCAGCCCTGCCACATCTTAAGTCATAAAGGTTTTTGGCCTTATACAAACACTAAGAGATGTATCTGAGAAATACCTGTGATACGCTGTCTTGAGAGTTAACATGCAAGAGAAACGAGAAAAAACAGACAAGGCAAGGGTCAGAAACAGACACCATAGACATAGTCACACAGGCAGTACAGGCTATACCTGGGGTATGATCACATCTGCCAGGGCTTTGGAGAGTTTGAAGAGTTCCGCTGTGCCTTCCAGTTTCAGCGCACAGTTGTGCTGTACATCATACTTGATACAGTCATAGATATCAGGTATCTTGCTGATGTCGTAGCGCCCATTCTTCATGCGAAAATCTCGCTCCAGCTTACTCCAGCGTTGCAGCATCAGTTCTAAAGTCTCACTGTGGTACAGCTGCAGGTCTAAACAGCAGACAACACCAAACCACATTCAAATCCTGACTAGTTCTGCTTATATTTCAAGTGACAGCTGTGACTGACTTCTCCCAGCACAGGTCTCTGATTATTATGTCACCCCCAGGAATCCCAGACTGGAAAAGCCACTGTACCTGTTGCATGGAGTTTTAACCTGCAGCAATAAGCTACTTCCGAAATACTTGAGAAAAATGAAACTGCTTGCCTGTTGGCTTATGTCTGCCATTAATCATGTGAAATGTCCCACAGATGCCTTTTTAAAACCTCTGCACTCTTATCAGGCAAGTTCTTAGACATGAACAAGTTGTGACTGAAAAACTTGCCGTTTATAGTCTTGAGCTCCCCTCCAGGAAATGTTTGAAAAAATCAGGTGTTCCTCTCCAGGCCATACTGCTGCAGTTTACATTCACTTTAAACCCAAGATGCACATACCATTTCCTTTACATTACAGCTCTCTTTACCAGTAGTTGAAAGTGGAATAAGAGCCTTCTACATCAATAGCACATACAGAATTTCACTTTAGAATTTCCTTGCTACAGACAAACATAAACTATAGTAGTGTTTGGGAGCTCTGAAGATGTAACTAAACGGATCTGCTCGAGAGCCTTTCCAGTTCTGATGCTCACCTGCAGATTTTGGGTCTTCCAGACGTTTCTGTATCTGGGAGGTGAGATTCTCAATCAGGGTGAACACCTGGTTACAGACCTCTACCGGGTTCTGGATAAATGTCATGGAGTTGAGCAGAGAAGCACTGCCTGTAGGTGCTAGCTGAGAGAAGATACCAGTAGCGATTAGTTAGTATCTTTACAAACTGGAAACACAACATGTTGACCTTTTGCAGCTGTACTGCCTTCTGATTAGGTACAAAAGCTGTGCTCCCAGCTGAGCGTAATAAGCTGGCCTATTCCTAGGCATAGTTAGGCATGTTTTAAAGATTTCCTCAGAGGGAGCAAATGACTGCTCCTATCAGATCAGACCTCACTCCACCTACAATATCCACTCTTGTCTCACTTGGCTTCTGTGCTTGAGCAGAAGGCCTTCATAGAAGTTTTAAGTAGTTCTTTGAGGTGATAAATACGTTCCTTAATGGTAATGGATTTCAGTCCAGTAACCAGATCTCAGAGCCGGGGAAAAGTAGTGCTTTGGAGATTTGTCGGAAAAGCAGTTATAGTGCTTTTATTGGTTGCTGTGTTGGATGTAGCCCATGCTCTCTACTCTGCAGTTATCAGACATGGATAGGACCACAAAAGGGTTTGTATCCAAAAGATCTGTTCACACATGTGCAGAACACGGATCTAGAATCTGGCAAGGCATACTCCCTGTCCACAGAAACTGGGATTTTTCTGGGCAGCATGCAGTAAACCACGAGAACTCTTCTTTTAGCTCACTCATGAGAATAAAATGCATTGGAAGTTCTAACAGAAGAGGAAGGTACTATGATGATTCTTAAAGGGGATAGTGGAGCAACACTGAGGATTTTCACTTGGAGAAGGGTAGGGGCTATTAACCTGTCCTGTCCCTTCCTAAGTTCTGTTTATATCCTGTAATTTTGACCAGAACTGATCTCAGACTAACCAAACTACTGTTCACATACCAGCAGGCTTTACGTCAAACCACTGGAGCAACGCTATTCTCCTTCCAGATACAGGAAGCAATAAAGCCACACAGGTGCTTTACCTTTTCATAATCCTCTTCAGAGAACTCAGTATCCTTCTGCATGATTTCATGCAGTCGTGCCTTCACTCTGTGTTGACAGCTGCTAAGGGAATCACTGTCACTGTCCAGGAGACCATTCATATTGGCACTTTTCACCATTTGCACCAGGATGGGGGTCAGCTCTCCTTCCAGGGCCAGCAGACCCTAAAGCAACGCAGGACGAGATTTCAGATATGTGCAACCCAAGCAACAAACACTTCTGGCAGTCTCATGGTCAGCCTTCAGTCAACTTGAGCAAACTGCTCAACTAAGAGCAGTCTTACAGCAACAGCACCTACAGTCATCCGTGACTCTGGCGTGCTTCTAGAGCTATCTGAAGCAAAAGGCCAGCTCTGTGTGCAGCAGCCCCAGATTTATCTAGGTAATTGTTGAGCAGCCAACTCAGTTTGCTGGAAAATGTTGATACAGCAGAGGCTCTGAAGAACACCTCTGAAGGTCACCACAGGATTCCCCTTGGCTCAAGTTTAACTGCAGATGAACCCGTCTTCTCCCCAACCCCCACGCCACACTGCACCAAAGACATTTCATTGCCCTTTTAAATCCAGCAGTCACTCCTCTGGCTGGGCAGTTATCCAAGAAACACTCATTTTGTAAGCAAGTAATACTCAGCAACAGGTTTGATGTGCTCTAACATCAGCAGCAGTCCATAAATAGATCCTCCTCTGGTCAGAGTCCTGTCCTGGACAGGATACTAAAGGTAACATACACGTGCAGCTACACTGGATTTCCAGTACTGTCCCATACACTTGCTATTAGCATAGTGTACCACCATCCTCCCAACAGAGAGGGGGAAGCTCCTAGGACAGCTCCTTCCTCATCACCAAGGGTTTTCCTTCAGAATTGGTGGATTTTAAGACTAATGCAGCAGAACTAACAGATGCCCAAAAGAGAGGAAGGACCTTTGCAAAAGCTGCTGCTGTCATCTGAACTCGTCCCTCATCTGAGGCGTAGATCTTGAGATCATGACGGTAAGTGCTGTGCAGCCTGAGTAAGCCACATCCAGGGAAACCAGCATAATCACCTGGAACAGCAAACAAACTCAAAATTAATATTCTGACACCTGCAAAACTAGCAGCTGTACATACTGCTTTAGACAAACTTTATTGTAGTAACAAAGTTGTGTAGAGAATGAATCACTTTCATAGCCAGCATTTAGGCTGCTCCAAAATAGACAGTTCTAGCTATACATGATGACTAGAAATCTGATGCAGGCTTTGCTTAACTTGAGAAAGTTCATTTTGAGGAAAAAAAAAAAAATGAGCATCCACCAGTCAAGCCTGATGCTGCCCAAATTCTGCAGCAACCCTCTCTGAACAGTCCAAAATTGTTCTGCTAGCCTGAATACCCCCGTGCAGAATAAAGATGCACAAAAAATATTGCCTCCTTCCACTTGTTCTCTGCACAAGAGCAGGCACTGCTGCCATCAGAACTGCAGGAAGAGCTATTCAGTAGGGATGCACCTGGCTTCCAAAGCATATCATGTAGAGATAAAATTACACTGCGGCACAAAATGCCAGTTTATTTACGATAGCCGAGTCAACCACAGGAGCCAGATCAATACTGGGAGAAAGCAACTCATCCAGCTCTGACCCTCCAAAAACACGGCAGTGGTGATTAATTTGCTGCTGCTTGGAGTCCCATGATGATTCTGCACAGTACCCAGTCACATTGCATAAGATGATAGGAAAACTGCTCCCAGCTCTGAACTCACGACTCAGAGAAACACCCTGCTAGACAAGGACAGACACCAGTCAAAAGTCAGCTGTATATCTGGACAAAGCTGCCATGTACCAACTGCTACCGAGGAACACAGCATCTCATGCAAAGTAAGATCTCTCCCTCTCCATGAATGACCACATGAAGCAGAAGTCTCCAAAGCCATGATTCAAAAGGACTGAAGTCACCTTCTACATGCTCAGACCAAGCTCTGCTGTGAGCAAGAGGGCAGCCACTCGGTGCTTGCCAGATATGGAGCAGCCAATGCAGAACTGGCATAGGCTATACCCTAGGGCTCAGCCCAGCTTGCTGGTAACTGCACTCCACTTGACCAGAGCTCTGTAGACAGGGCTCTCCTCTCAGGTTTTGGCTCAGTACGCTGCGATCTACCCCCTGCAGTTCCACTGGAATTGTCTCTCCTGTACACTGTCTTCTGGTCTGCCCAACCTCTTGTCCAAGTCAGTGGCTGATCCTCTCAGCTCCAGGCTTCAGAGATCCACAAAAGCACCAGGAAGTCCCCAGCCTTTCTAACTCACCGGTTCCATCTTCAAGACTGGCACACAGGCCTTGTCACGAAGATCTTCTGTCCACTACTGCTCCTCCTCCTTTAGTCTCTGTGCACCGACAGTCTGCTCTACTTGTTGGCACCTTGCAGCAAGCAACACTATGCTTAGCTTTATGCATTTAGTTAGATGCATACCTAACTATGCATTCAGTCAGTTTTTGCATCTTTTTGAAAGTTTATCCTCACACGTTTGCTAAAAAAGTGCTCTTGAGATCACAAGCATCTGACCTCACAGCCCAACTTCCTCAACCTGCTGGCAACACTCATCCTAATACGGCCCAGGATATAATTTGCCTTCTTTGCGGCAAGGGCACATTGTTGGCTCAACCTGGTGTCCACCAGGACCCGCAGCTTCTTTTCTGCAAAGCTGCTTTCCCGCTGGTTGGCCCCCAGCATATACTGGTGCAGAGGGCTGTTCCTCCCCAGAAGCAGGACTTCGCAATTCCCCTTGAACCTCATGAGGTATTTGTCAGCCCATTTCTCCAGCCTGTTGAGGTCCCTCTGGATGACAGCACGACCCTCTGGCATATCAGCCACTCCTCACAGTTTTGCATCATCAGCAAACTTGCTGAGGGTACCCTCTGCCCCCATCATGCAGATCATTAATGAAGATACTAAAGAGGATCAGACCCAGTTGTCACCCCGGGCTACACCGCTAGTTCCAGGCCTCCAACTCGACTTTGTGCTGCTGATCATCACCCTCCAAACCCAGCTGTTCAGCTAGCTTTCAGTCCACCTCACTGTCTGCTCAGCCAGCCCACACTTCTTCAGCTATCAGGACATTACCACAGACAGTGTCGAAAGCCTTACTGAAGTCAAAGTAGGCCATAGCCACCGTTCTCCCCGCATCTAAACAAGACAGTCATTTCACTGTAGAAGGTTATCAGGTTGGTTAGGCATGACGTCCCTTTGTGAATCCATACTAACTACTCCCAATCACCTTCCTATCCTTCACGTGCCCAGAAATGGCTTCCAGGATTAGCTGCTCCATCACCTTCCCAGGGACTGTGGTGAGGTTGACCAGCCTGCAGTTCCCTGGGGCCTCCTTATTGTCATTTTTGAAGCCAGGAGTGACATTTTCCCTCCTCCAGTCCTCAGGCACCTCCCTGAGTCCCCACAACCTTTCAAAGATAATCTGCAGTGACATCTGCCAGCTCCCTCAGCACTCGTGGGTGCACCCCATCAGGGCCCATGGACTTAAGTATGTCCAGTTTGCTTAAGTGTTCCCTGACCAGATCCTCTTCCACCAAGGGTAACTCTTCCTTATTCCTGAGGGAAATCTCCATTTTAAATTAGCTTAATTAATTTGAAATTGAATTAATTAAATTGAATTAATTAAACATACAAGTCAAAGATAAGCAGTATCCAATTCTGATCTCATCAGATCAATACAGTAGCAGTGTATTACTTCTGGCTCTTCACTTGGATGAAAAAGGCAATCTCAGTCTTCCCCCCCGCCCCGCTTTGGGGTCTTGTTCATCTCTGTGTGTTCTAAATGCTTTTCAGAGTCACAGAATTATGGTGGAGAAAATACGGAGAAGTTACCTTCCCATTCTCCTGCTTCAAGGCAGAATTATCTGTGTTCCAAGATAGATTTCCTCTGTTCTCTACATCTGACCTAAATTCCTTGTTAATCATACACAAATTTTGAATCGTATTTGCTGCATCAGAATGTCTTATTAGAATGGCTTCTCTTTTTTGAATACTGGCACATTAGTTGAAAGAATGTTATTGTGCTCCAAGACATACTAAAGTTTAACCACTGCAGCAGATATCTCTAGCCAGCTTAGGAATCTTTGAGTGCAAAACCCACTTGAATTATTTATCCTTACCAGGTCAACTCAAAAGAGCAAAACCAGTAATGATCCGAGTCACAGAGGCTGCACACAGCCCACAGATGTCCAAGCATCCCTCATGCTGGTGATCAGTGACCTGGGCTGGGCAGCCTGGCACAGTCAGAGGACAGGACTGGAGATCCATGGGCAAAGCTTACCTTGGCCACCAGGGTACATGCAGCGAAAGGCTCGCCCCAGCTCTTCTGCCTGGACTCTCCCTGCTGGCGTCAGCTCTCCACCCCACTTAAGCACCAGGAGAAGGGATGGGGAAGACTCTCGGCGAGCTTCTAGGAGACAAACAGGTACTCACTAGATCAGATCTCAAAGCTGAGCTTGCAGGGGGAGAGGAGGGGAGGAAGAAGAGGTTGTCATCAGCACCTTGCAGAGCATTCTCAACACAAGCCTGACACAAAATCCCTGGAAACCAAACCAGCAAGTATGAAATTAAGAGTCACTACTTTTTGAAGGCATAGGCTGACATTCATGAAATTGGAAGCATAAGCCCTGTGGCACCATTCGGGGTAGACTGGTACACTACATTATGCATCACTCCAACCCTTCATATGATGTGAGCACAGATAAGATACGGGTCACTTATTTTGCTTGCATGTCCAGAGGCCTATAAAGGTAGGATAGCTGCACGCAGTCTTCAACACCAGGCTCGAAGATCACGGCAGCAACGTCAGGTTTCTTTACCTTCGTCTTCACTTGCAGCTTTTGGATGTCCATGAGGCAGATAGGTCAACTGAACCTTACGGTTAATGCCAGAAAAATGTCCATACCTGTCACAAGGAGAGGTGGGAAAAAAAAAATTAAACAAATCAGCTCCACTCACCCTTTGCCCAGAGGTCCCTAGGCAGCACACAGCAAAAATTCAGCACAGGCAAGAGACTTTCTGCTGCAGTATCAATTGCCACGGAACATGAACATTTTTGTCATCTACCTGTGACCCGGCATGCACTCCCCAAAAAAGCCAAATAAATCCCCCCAAATGAAAGTCAAAGATCCATTTACTTGCCTGCTCTTCAGCTGACAGTACTCCGTGCTCTCATACCCCACCGGGGCTTTAATCAACCTTAGTTAATTTCTACCTACATCTTTAACAAGTGAATTAATGAGATCACAGAAAAAGAAACAATCTGCCAGCCGCTTGAGGATAACCACATCTCTAATGAGCAGAAAGAGCAGGGGAAGGAATCATAGCAAAAATTCATCCTCTGTGCTCCACAGGCATGGCTTGAACAGAGACACAGCTTGAACAGAGACACGGCCTGCGTATGCCACAGCGAGCTACAGTTCTGAGAGAAATCCTTCTTCCGTTTCCAAGATGCCAACACCACCATATTGTCTTTTATTTCAGCTGTATGAAACCGAAGAGGACACAAACACCTTTTCATGTTTTCCAAGCAGCTTTTTGTTAAACTTTTGGCACCGGGACAACCTTATTTAAAACAAGATTTGTTCCAAATTTATCAAAATGCTTCATATCAATGTGGTCCGTACAGGACCCCAGTTCCTCTCCCGTAGCAAAGCAAGCGCAGTTTTGTCTCAAGACGTTTAGCCAAAAACCAGACACACTTGGAACAAGAATCAGCAGTGGTTTTGATGCCATGGAGAGAACATTAAGAGCGTGGCACCTTTCATGCATAGCTGCTAACAGGGGACGGAGGAGACTCCGACCTCTGGGGAGCCAGCTGGCAAGGACATCAGCAGCACAGCTTGTTTCTACATCGCATCTACATCGCAGCTCCAAGACAAACTCACAGTGCCCCAAGATATGAACCCTTACATCTCCAAGACGCTCTTAAGTTGTTCCAGTTTGGATTTCCTCTCCTCAATCTCACAGTCACTGTGGGTTCCCAGGTCCACCACAAGCTGCCGTGCAATGTCCAGCACTTCCTGTTGGAGAGCAGACAGTCTCAAGCATCCAGCAATTCTGCCTCAGACTCACCACTGTACTCTTGCAAGGCTTCACCCACCATCAGGTCCACACAGACACTCATCATAGACACATCATTTCGTAAGACACAGCTCAGGCAGGACAAACGTTCACACTGCAGTTTGCTTCATCCCCACTCCGTCCTCCAGCCCCATTCAGAAACAAACAGGTGCCTCCAACTGCCCCACTCTCGAGCCTGGACCGATCTTTCAGCAGAGGCAACCACAGCAGATGGGCAAGCTGCATCAGGTCATTCCCATCCTACAGTCTTCACATCAAGCCAGGAACAGTTTCCATTCTGCTCTCATACTATCACCCAGCTAAGTGTGCACGGGGTGAGGAATGAGAAAGGGAGCCTTTGTGCAACAGACTGTCAGCCTTTTGAGGGTTTCCACCCTCCCAAAGAATTGCCTTGCACTGAGATCCGTATTACCTGCATGTCACACACCAGTAACCCCAGAGAGAACTCCCCTCACCTGTAGCTGCTCTGGTTTCTTCAGCTTCAACTTCCCTGTCTTGTAGCCATCATATTTCTCAAATAATTCAAAGAACCTGGACAGACAACAAAGAATCCTGATCTACTTTCTGCTGTTTCAGTGCTACAAGGACTGTCATCCCTACATATGCATTCGTGCTCTGCTTTTCAGGCAGAACCAGCAGGCCCACTGGCTCCTTCCTTTGCTTCAGAAATTCTGAAAACAACACATGTTTCCAGCTGCAGATATGAAAAGGAAGCAGCCACTAGCTTCCCATTTAGTGGGGCACTTCCCTTTGCAGCACCTAGACCTTCACTCTTTCTTCCAGTATTCACACAGAAGGTGCCAGGATCCTAACGGGGAAATAGTACTCCCTCAACTGGGCAGAAAGCATTTGCTCGAATGGAGCCATAAAAAAGCACTGCCTCCCATGCACTCAGCCCTTCTGCTTCTCCTCTCGATTCAGTAAACAGGCCCTCCTCACTTCCCAGCAGCACAGCATCTTCTTGCCTTAACTCTTACCGGGGATGCTTAACTTCCATCTTCATCTTCTGCTTTGGGGTGCGATCTCCGTGCCGGATGACTGCAATAACACAACGAAGCTCCATCCTGGGGAAACACAAGATACACCTTACAAATGTGCCCCTAAACTCCAGAACTGCCACCAGAAAGTAGCTCCATCCTTTTGACAGCAGCTTTCCTCATCAGTGGCAGAACTTCTCCCAGACTAAACCAGGCACAAGTGCCAAGGCTGTAAAAGCAGTCAAAGTACTGCAGACACTACCAGGTCATCTGGTTTCCTATCAGGGAAAAGCACCACAGTACCACAATATGACAGGCAGAACTACACCTGCAGCAGCAAGGACCAGGCTGGGTGTTACAGAAGCTACAGAAAGAGCATTTTGAATTGTGCCCAGCCTGTTTTCATGCCCAACTCGTGTAATGCTCATAGGACCGCTTAGAAAGACCCAGGAAAAAACAACTTGGTTTAGAAGAATGGTTACACAGCTGGGGTCCTGTCTTTGAGCAACTGGTAAGAGCTGCACACAGAAAGATCCCATAGCAATCAGCCACCTGCAGGAACCAGTAATTAGGCTGGCTAATTTCACAAGAGCTACATGAGTTTGCTTTTTCAGATACTACAAAATCCAACTATTTATTTTAGGATCCCAGAGAAACGGGGATCAACTCTTATCAGTCTCATTGTCACAAGGTGTCATGGAAGCCAGCAGTCCGGTGTGCTGTGCAGTGTTTGTGTTTGCCAACTTTTTCCAAATGATCACACAGTAAAGGATGAATACGGACTCTCAATCTACCTTTTCTGTAGTACCTACTTTGTTCACTTCACACAAGTGTACTGAGGATCACAAAGAAATTTTTGCCTTTGGTCTTTTAGCCTTATGTGGCAGAAAACTAGTAAGGCTGACAGTATCAAATGAGGGTCTGCCAAATGTACAGGTAATGTGAATACTTCAGCTAATTGTTTACCACCCATTTCACTGGCAGTTCAACACGCATTTACAGTGAGCCAGCTACAGTGATGCCCTAATTTGTTTCCTGTCCTGATCAAAAATTTGGGCCTTCTGAAAGACATGTGGGCAGTTTCAGTAATTCCTTCAATGACTGCTCGTCTGCATTCAAACAACCTACAACTAATTTACCATCTATCACTCCTTTCATGTGCATGGCTAAGCCTTTCCACAGGCATTTCAGGATTGCAACCAACACAGCAGCTGGAGAATGCCATGCTGCTGGGTGATGTCTGTCCCTTGGACAGGGTTTGCATTTTGTCCCTCATGGAGCCATCACCGGCATTCTTTTGAGAAGATGGCAGGTACTCACATGGTGCCTGACGTTGTGGGGACAATGGGAATGTCTTCGGCCTCTGTTGGGATGGACCAGGGAATATGAAACTGGGGAGCCAATTCCCGCATGATTATATTTCTGGAAGAAATTAGAATACAAAACTCACAAGAAATTCCATTCCCTTGGTTCCCCAGCTCCTCCTTAGTGGTCCAGCTTAAAGATTTGAAGAGAGCCACAGAACTTCTCCTCACCTTCCTCACAGAAACATCTATACCACACCATAGGCTACTTAGGGCACCCCAGAGGGACACCAATTTCCCTCACATCACCAATACTGCAGCCGGGCTTGGCTGTATGACAAGTAGGACAATGACAAGTCCTGTAAGATAGATCTAGCTGTAGACAAAGACAGCTAATGCCAATGCAGGCAGGAGCTCCAGGGGCTAAAAATAATTAACGCATTCCTCCCAGAGCCAAGCTGTCACCGATGAACACATATTCCCGTATGAACTACCTGCAGACTTCTCCAACATACCAATCAGTACTCTACGTTCATTCTACTTTGCTGTGAGTTACCTTACCCGCTATCAAAACTTGAATTTTACATACCCGAGGATTTTGGCACAATCATCGTAATACTTCATAGAGTTCTTCACAAAACTGAAGCCGTTCACGTCGCAAACAAAAGAATGGCCGTTTGCCCGCAGGAGATCAAACCCACACACTGTTTGCTGCGTGAGGAAGCAGAGGACACAGGACTCAGGCACGCTGTCAGGGAGCGCAGCGAGGGGACAGCAGCTGCCCAGCCAAGCGGGGCACACACACAGACCCAGCCTGCGAACACCGCCCAGTTCAGGTCCTCTGGTGCTGCAGCCGTCCTCCGCTCCACGCCTACCTCATGAGCCTTCAACAAGTGTGAAAATAAAGCCATCAGCCAGTGGTAACAGGCCCTTCAGAGGAATCTTTACATCCTCACAGCTGTATCAAAGGCCCAACCCACAGGCCCCCAGATTAAGCCATCAGGGCCAGCCCCCTACCTCCCAGAGCTCTAAAGGCTAAGACAGAGCAGCTCCTGGCTCTTCTGCTCGTGTCTCTGAGTCCAACCACTTTGAACCAGACTGACAAATACAGACAACAAGCAGTGCAGGCAAAGACATCCATCACTGTGTGGAAAAGGCTACAAGGCAGAACAAGGCCACAGCGGTATCAGCACAACTGCATGGGTTGCAGATTGCAGCAAGGGCAGGAACAAGCAGCTAAGTGCTTCTTCTGCTGATACTGCTAAACATACCATGGAACAATACCTAGACTCACACACTCACTCTACCGACCTGTAGAACAGAACACAAATGTGCACCAAAGCCAGATCAAAAACAGAACAACAACAACAAAAACAGAAGAAAAGAAGACCAAGCTTTCCACACAGACACAACTAGGAAACAGTAAAGGCGGGACAAGCACAGGTCAGATGGACAGCAGCATGCTCAGAATGTGGTATAAAGTGCTCAGATGTACACTGGACACCAGCCACCTGCCAGCACAGAGGGCATTCGCTGCAGGCCCTCCTGCCTTCACAGTCATCTCTGACCAGCAAACTGCCATGGCCAGCAGCACCAGCTGCACCCAGCCAGCAGAGACGGCAACCGGCATCAGGTGTGAAAGACTGCCGCACCAGAGACACATCAGGGTAACAGAGCTCAAGCTTTAACACCGACCGAGATTCAAATCAGACATTCGTGGAATATCCCGCTCACGTAGGCGAGAAAACACAGACCTTAAAGGCTACGCAGACTTTCCGTGCAACTAGTTTCTCCATGGCAGTCAGCATGACTGGGTAACGGATTTCTTTCCCTTCACTGTCCCGTTCAACCTTCCCATCCAAAGCAGGGGATTTGCGAGCCTCTGCATGGGCATAGTCCGGCCCAACAGTGTACACCTGGGAAGAGAAATAGTTACACCTGACATAACCACCTAGACTAACTGCAGCTTCCAGAAGGTATTGCTACTGCAGACACAGAGGGAAGACGATCAGATGGTCTCGTGCATTCCTCCTGTTATGACCTACAGAACGCCCGCTCCCCGCTTTGGGATCCAAGCTGCACAGTCAGCACCTCATGGCTTAAACAAATACTCCAGAATCTAAGTAGGACTAAGTAGGACTGCCCAACCTTCAGCTATCCCAGGCCTGGAGAAGGAAGGATCTATTCCAGGCTTTTCCTTACCTTCACATCGGTGCCATCTGTAGGCATGAACTCCTCATAAATGTACGAGCCTGTCTTCCTCACACTGCTCTCTGGGGAGTACACGCTACTCCGGCTGCCAATCTGAAAGCACAGAATAAACACCTCAGGGAAGAGCATGGGGCTCCTCTTCTTAGATGGAAGAACAAAAAGCCTAAGTTTTATCCCATAGGTAGAGAATTAGCAGAAGGCAGCTCAGAACCCGCAGCTATTACAGCACACTTATTTATGGAGGACAAAAGAGACTCTGAAACACAGACAGTAGGTATGTTCTCTTCCAGGCTTTAAAGAGGAGACAAGTTATTATAGACCATTAGGTTGACTCTGATCACTACAAGGATTTGAAACAAAAAAGAGTGGACAAAGACCTAGAAAGTAAGGAGCCTAGCTCATAAGCAAATGAAAATAAATGATGATAGGTGATAATCAGACCAATTTAACTTCCTACTAGGACAGTTGACTGATCTTATGGACAGAGGATGATGTTGTTTTCATTTTTAGTAAGGCTTTGGATACAACCTCAAGTGGCATGCCTGTATGTTACCTAAGGAAACAGGAAACAATCATTTTAAGATTATTAATGGCAGATGCATAACTGATCAGAAAAAAGATATATCACAGCTATTAACTGATCGCTGACAAAGTGGAGGAAGTGACAAGGGCAGATTCCCTGTGGAATCTAGGAATAAATACTGCAAGGAATAAATACTGCATAAATACTGCAAGCTATACTAAGCTGAGAAGTGCAACAGTGATGCTAGAGGACAGGAACATAAGTTAAAAAAAGAAAAAAATCTCAATAAATTGAGGAAGCGATCTGGAAAAAACAGCACGCAATTTAATAAGAGACACAGTTCTCCATGACTGCTATACAGGACACAGGTCAAACAGAGGATGGGGAAGGCAAAGTCAGCACTACCACTAAAATGTCCTTCTCCAATTCACAGGTATCATAGAACCATAGAATGGTTTGGGTTGGAAGGGACCTTAAAAATCATCTAGTTCGAAGCCCCCTGCCATGGGCAGGGACACATTCCAGTAGACTAGGTTGCTCCAGCCTGGCCCTGAACACTTCCAGGGATGGGGCATCCACAATTTCTCTGGGCACCTTGTGCCAGTGCTTCACCACCCTCATGGTGAAGAATTTCTTCCTTACATCTAAAGGCAGATGGGGTTGAACTAAAAGTTCTAAGAAGGTCTAGATTTCCCCAACACAAAATCTTCCTTTCCTCTTCACCTGCCCCACCACTCCCTCGTGAAGCCACATGGGTCTCAGAGCCACAGAGCTGTTGGTTTCAACACCAAAACTGGAGTCCTCCTCCTCACCTTCCGAAAGAGCCGCTGGCTGCCCCCACCTGCTGACGTCGGGTAGTAAATATACACATTATGGTCTTCAGCACTGACTGGCTTCTCTACAAATGGCTTTGGGAAAACAGCTCCATTTACCTCCACGTGGTCTTCTCCTTCCACTAAGTTGCATTCTGAAGACAAAGCACAGCAGCAGCATGTTAGGAAAGGGTGAGACATCCCTAGGGCAGAGGCAAAGCCCTTCAGTCCTAGCCAGTCAGCCAGTTTTGCTGTTGGGACCTTTGTCCACTAAAAACAACAGACTTGTGAATCAAGCTGATTATCAGTACCTATTCTCCGCAGAATATCTTAAATAGTACAGCATGTGAAAATGGTTTTCAGTAGAGCCTGGACACTGACCTTCTGGTCTATCAGGGTCTCGATTGAGCACAGCATAGCGGGGCAGGTCTATTCCCTCTTCTTGAAGGATCCGATACACTTCACGCCTGTAGAGGACAGAAACAGTGTCAGAAGAGTCTAGAAGGTCCTCAGTACCTGCCAAGGGAAAGGCTTCACTCCCAGTGATGAAGAAGAAAGTCCAATGAACACTAAGAAGCCTCAAGACAGAGTGCAAACTCTTCTCAGGACATGCTCTCCAGATAGGACCTGCAGGCTATGGGGCATGCCTCAGTCCTACTCCGGACAGAGATGTTCCCAGAGTCAGTCTCCACCTGACCTAAACCTGGATGCTCATTTACTAGCACATGTCCAATCCACAGCAGCCCACCCAGCACACCCCACCTACCCAGATCTGCCCTCTCACGCTAAGCTGCCCAACGTTCAGGCCAGGCAGATGCAGTAGATCCTCTTTTCATCCCGTGTCAGTGGGGAAACCGCAATCCTTTCACTAGAGTTACACCCTGCCTGTCAGCACCCACAGGAACACCGCTCTCAACCCAAAGACATGGCAGGAGGTTTGGGGTCTGGTATGAGCCCTACCCATACACAGCCAAAGCAGCCTGGCTGTATGCACTGAAGTACGTGACTGCTGGTGGTGGCCTCTACCAAGACCTGACTGAGAAGCCTCTTGAAGCGTCTGACCAACATACCCTCCTCAGAATCTGACCTGGCCTTGCTCCCAATTCCTCTCCCAGAACCTCATCCCACTACTTGCCCCTCCTACTCAGAGACTAGTCTTTTTGCCTTAGTCGTGGCAGTCTCATTCTGTGAGATCTCTTCCACTTCCTACTTCATCTAGCCATTCCTTACATTTACACCAGGAAACAAAACGTGCCAACTCTCAATGGTTTTACCCTCAGATCTATCCCCTTCTGTGTTTTGGAGAAACAACCCCTAAAAGCTACTGCTAAGGTCCCCCTCCTCCCCATCTCACTCATTTGCTTGTGGCCAGGAAGACGAAGTTCGCGCAGCATGCTGAGGAGAAGAATCAGACAAAGGAAGAGGGAAGGGGCTTTAGTGGATCACAGACACCTACCTGTCCTGGATATAATACTGCATATCAAGGTCATTAATCAGAAACGGCTTGCACAGCTTGGCATAAGCAACCGCTTTATCCAAGGGGAATCCTGAAATACAGAGGAGGGGCGTGGGAAGAGAATGAGCAGAAGCTCCCTTGCCCAGATCTCAAGTAGGCTAAGGTCGGCCACTGACTTTTTACCTTTGGAGTGAAATGATATTAGGCAGTCACAAGAGGGCCAGTTCTCCACCGGTTCATTCAGAATAACATCTTCCCCCATAATCACCACTGTGATATACTCAAACTTGCACAGACGCTCCAGAATCTGTGTCATGGGCTTTGACTTGGACTTTTTGGTCATGGCACAGATTCCAACCACAATCTGCCGTTCAGGTGGCTAAGGGAAGACAGAGATCAGTTTAGTACAGGCTCAACTACTTTACTGAATTTAAACTGTAACAGTGTAGAAATGCAGCAATGCAGAAGAAACAAGGGATTTTCTTCCAACCTTATGCACTTACAGCTCTTGCTAGACTCAAAGCCATACACACTTTCAGCTCCCACTAGAGTCCACTGGTGGACATCATTAAGGAGCAGCCCAAAACAACTGCTTCTTTGCCCGGTAGTACGTACCTTCTCCTTTTACTGTGGGCACTAATGCCAAGGTCAGAAATAAATATCTGGCACCTGAACAAGCAGCAGGGACTGAAATCCCACATCATGTTCTCTGGCCCGTAACTCACCAAGACAGCTGGTGGACTTAGGAAGGCTCAGAGAAAAGCTGCAAACGTTTTATAGCAAAAAAGTCCAGGAGCTCAGTCTGTTTGTCTTATCTGAGAGAAAATGAAGGGGAGATTACAACAGTAAGTAGCTACGAGTAGAAGAGAAACAGGACCAGGTCCTCTTCCATATATCTGACAAAGGTACAAGAAGATCCAGTGGGACGAAGTTAAGTTGAGCAAGTCAAGTGAGAAGGCGTGCATTCAAAAAGCACTGGTAACCATAACAGAGGAACAGGCTATGGTCTGTGTGGACTTTCCGTCACTGTCTAGAAATCCCAGACTGGATGTTTTCCCTGACAGATTAATTCTAGCCCAAGCAACATTAAATGCAGTGAGATCATCTGAAGTGATACACACAGGACTGCAGGTTAGCCGGCACATGCAACTGTGGCTTCAAACTGAAAGTCAAGACTTTAGAAGTTACTGTGCTGACTTGCAAAGCCAAGGTTCCACAGCAAAAAATAACACCTGGGAAGCGAAAGGGTTTCCAAATCCTTCACCACACCTGATAAATGGCTCCTCACTGAGCATCAAGGTACACAACATTGCCTGGGTTTGAAGGAAGCCCATGTGGGCTCCTAGGCCAACAACCTACTTGCAATGGAGGCTCAAGGTACAGAGGCAATGGAAACGACCACTGCGCTGGCATACAGTCTCAGCAATTCGCATAGCCAGCAGCAATGTCCCTGCTGCATCCAAGTCCCAAGTGCAGAACAGCAAATAAAACATTTAGCGTAACACTGAATAGGGGCCAAAAGCTGTCAGGAGCTGGAGATCATTCTCCTTTCTGCATCCTGTTCCTGGAGGTTACAGAAAGGAATGCATGCTTCCTTTCTGCAGACACACCTTTGCCCTTTTCACAGTTCCCAGAATTTTCCTCAGAAATTTCCCTGGTGAAACAGAAAGTTTACAGGAATGTCAGGGTTAAGTTGTTAGGACAAAGAAATCCGCTATTGTACCTGAAAAAGACCTGCAAGCAAAAAGGCGAGGATTTACTGCAGCATGAGGCAGCAAGCATGGCAGCATGACAATGCAGAACGTCCTGTCAGAAATGACACTGCTGTTCCCCACGGCTGTGCCACACAGCCTGGTGCCATGTCCCCTGAAGTCCTGACTTCCTCCGGCCTCAGCAGCAACCGCGCAAACCCTGGCTGAGACCCAGGAATTCTGCACAGATGCCCCAACCCATAATGCCGGGACCTCCTTACCGACTCCTCCTTTTCATCATCTTCAAAGAAATCGGTTTCGTCTGTCTTCATGTTTGATCCCAGGAAGTCTGTCTCATCATCCCTGGAACCGACCACAAACCTGGGAGCGGAGTACTCTCCCTCACTGGAGGTCGTCAGGGACGACATTGCAGCTTCGGTGGCCGACCATCCCGCTCTGGAATCACAGCGTGCAAAAAGGGATAGAGAAGGTCAGACGCAAGGCGAGCCAGGGGCTGGCTGTGCTACTGGAAGCAGCTGATGGTGGGGAGGGCAGGGACTGATCTGGCATGAGTGAGCCCAGGGACGGTGCTGCCAGCGCAAAAGGAGGGAGCAGGAAGAGACCCTCGGGGTGGGAGGGGAACCGGGATTCAAGACCATTTTTGACAGGCAGCTCCACTGTGCAATTAACCCCCTTGCACAGACTGGGAAAGGGACAGTGTCACCGCCAGCACTGAAATCACATAAACCTTACAATGAAGCATGCTCCAAGCCACTGCCTAAATCATGGAAAGGGACACTGGACACTCTTGCAGGTTCGTACACCCAAAGACATCAACTGGGACTCCAGAAGATAGGATGAAGCTTAGGACAGTGACGGTGACTTTCCAATCGCCAATTTTCATCCTTTCAGCTCAGGAAGACCTACAGTAACAGAGAGACCAATTTGAGAGGCACATGAGTTTGCGGGGAGAAGGGAAAAGGACAAAGTGACAACTCTGGCAGGGAAA